TATCTCAGCCGAAGAGGCTGGCTTGTTTATTACATTTTAATCACCCCATTAATTAATTAAGGTTTACAATAAAACGATTATTGACCCCGTGGATACAACTTAGTTACCGTAAAAGTCCTAATATAAACTCCAGTTTACATATATTACAATGTATCAATTTAAAAATTGAGGTCAAAAGCTCAAGTTTGGGGTGTGGTTTATATTTTGTGCATATTGTAATCACTAAATGGGCATTTTTCCCCACAACATATGCACAAAACAAACAGTACATCTTATTATCTTCTGAATACTGTGAAATACTTTATTTTAGCTGGAATTACAATTTTCGCTGAAAAGGCTTTTTTGGCGTTTTGTATGGAATTCATTTTCACTGATTTTTGAGAGTTGAATGTGAAATATAGGAAAAAAAGTATATTCGCTGGATTTTATTTTCACGGAATCATCCCTCCAGCAAGTGAAAATAAAGTATTCTACAGTAGGTGTTAGGGGAAATTGTTCTCGATTGTACAAATGTACAGCAACTTTAAATACATACATATCAAGCTCTGAAAGATAATTATAAGATATGATTTTGTGTACACTTCACCTGTGACTGTAATTACCCCCGGTAGCATACAGAATTAGTCAGGAGTGACTTAAAATTATAAAATGTTTTGAGCTGTTGCCTTGTGCAACAAACACATGAAATAAAATTGCATATCATTATTTCAATGGGCTTCAACTTTCAAGTTTCCAAAATTAGGTTAGCCTAATTAAAATTGTGAAGGAAATATCTGACTATTCAAAGTTAACAATAGAATGCATTATTTCCGTTCACAAGTCAGTGAATACAAAGCAAAGTCAATGTCCCAGCAACATCAAATCTGCTGTACCATAAAAACTCTAACACATTTTAATAATAATTTGTTCTTAGAAACAGTTGGGTTTTTAGAATAAAAAATTAAGTTTTTGACTTAAAGCGGGTGGGTCACCACCTGCGCATGCACAGGAATTGAGTTCCAAACGATCATAACAACACGCGCTAAAAACGCAAAGGCTAGATGCTTGTTTGTATGCAATGGCACACTATGTCTATCTAACGCATGTGATGACTCCTCCACTTTTCCGATGTTTCATAGCTCAAAAAAAAAAAGATACAACCGAGTTAGTGCTTTAGTAGGTAAGTAGGTAAAATACATTTCATCTTTTAATGAAGTCTGCTAAAACTCTCTATACTAATTTTACCCTTTTAAAAAGTGTGAATTGAACTGAAATAAAACCCTATGAATGATGTTTTGACTTTGGAATTCATTTCTGCGACAGGCAATGCATTCTTTGTGGTCACCAATATTCGTAAGATATCAGAAACATGTTGGCAGTGCCACACACTATTCTTATTGGTTAATGTTATTTTTGACATTAGGTCAAAGGGCATTGGCAGGTCAACTAATGTCTGGAAAAAAAAAGTGGAGCTCAATCAACCATCAGTCGAGTATAATAAAACACTACCTCATGATACCTTGAAAGATGCATGTATATTTGTAGCAAACTAAAGACATTTTTTGTATCAAACCAAGACTGAATAATGAGCATCATTGTTAGAAAAGTATAGTGCAAGTTATTTTTGTGTGTATGTCTATGGAATAGATGTTTATGTATTTTTCACTGTGCATAACACTACTTACCCTACCTCAACAATGTTTGTTCTCTGTATTGAAGCTAAATTATTGTTGAACCATAAGTGCAGAAAATAAATTCATGAAGGATAAAATGTTAGAGTACCAACAAAAAAAACAATGACTCGATCAAAATTTTATAAAGTATAACAAATTTCGAAAAATCTACAAAATAAATGTTGAATTTTAAGAGGGTGAAATTTTAGAGTTTTCCCTGGTGCTCTGTCTAAATCGGCCTGTGAACATTAAACAGTGATGTCAGCAAGTGCTTTGAGTGTAACAGATGCATTATTTGTTCCCGCTGGTATTAGTTTCTATTGTACAGCAAATCAGGTCAATTACTGACATCTCCTACAATGATCATGTAATCAGATATTCAATTCTCTACTGCATGGTATTTCATTGTCTAAATATCCACATTTGGTCATACATGTGTAGTGTATTTTTAGTCACAGCAATTTGACCTTCCTCAGTGGTTCTTTCTGCAATATACTGTTACATTGACCAGTTGTTGCTAATGGCAACGTTTAGCACATTGTGCATGCATTTTTAACTGGCAATACATTTGTATATACTATCGGAAATAAGTGGCTCGCTATAGTCACGTACATCATTTTGGACAAAGTAGTCCACCCTGTTTAGACTCATTTGAGTGTAGATTTATGCTGGAATGAAGTGAGTCTACAGTGTAATGTGCCTCAAAAATCACGAGCGACCAGGCAGGGGTGCAGCAAGGGCTAGCCCGGTGAGCAGGATGGCGCAGTGAAAAACTAGCCTTGAATTTGCATAGGTGCGCCGGATTAAAAGAGGCTAGCCCTTTGAAAAGAGTGCGCCATGGTGTTAGCAAAGCGAAGTACTGTTTTTTTTGGAAAGTTAATATTCTGTTGTACATGTATCAGAAAACATATGGTGTTTTTTAAATTCACTGAAATGTTATATTAGTGAACTGCGGAAGGATACATATTGGCAACTCTATCACAGCCAGTAGTAAGGTACTTTACATGTATATTATTATACATACTGTAAAATGGTAAATTATTCACTGGGTTTTAAATTTGCTTATTTCGCTGACTGGAAAATGCGCTAAATTAAAACCCAGTGAATATGTAAAATTTAGCATAGAACACCTATGATAAAACCATGAATTTAAAACCCACTGAATATGCCTGAAATGGTAAATCAGCGAAATTTAAATCCAGTGAAAATTAGTCATTTTACAGTAGCAGACAGTGTTGTTTCTGAGGGCAGATCACAACTTGCAGAGAAAAAATTTAATGCGTCTTTGTACACTGTACACATGCTAGAATTTCTTTGTTAATTTGGTGTCAAGTAGACATAATTTCCATTGGTTACAGGTGTTGATGAAAAAAAATATGGAGGTTTCGTTTGTGAAAGCTGACGACAATTGACATACGGTTCTTTCAAAAATTAAATTACACAAAAATATATTTGACTAATTACCATAGCAACTTAGTATTTATGACTGTAAACGCATTAATTAGTTGCTGGTGTTTAATTTTACTATTTTTGCCGATAAGTAAAATTTATTAAATTCATGTTAATATGTAGAATTAAAATAAAACTTATTGTTCCCGTGCAAAGTTAGTAAACATTTAAAGCCCAGTTAAACATCAACAGAGGGAAATTAAATATCAGTGAAAATAAATGGTTTTACAGTATGTATTACAATGCAAAGTACAGGTTTAATGGACTATATACATTTAATGTGACACATACAGACAGAATACATTTATTTACTTTGAATATCGCAGTCTGTGAAGAGGATGGCAGTCTGTCAATATTTACCAGCACTACTGTAAACATTTAGTATCAAACTATATCTAACTTCAAACTATTCAAGATAAATGATATTTGGTACATCAAGGAGTGCTTTAAAAGCATTAAGGATGCTTGCAACTTGCTTCAGTCTAAGATGCATGGGATAGAATTAAAATAAATTTTAATGATTGTTGTACGAACGCGTAAATGTATTTACCAGTAGATAAAGAAATTAACTTATTCTTTTTTAAATGGAATAAACATATCTTGGCTATTAATTCACACATGGGACCCTACAAATCTATTGTAGGGTCTGTGATACCTTAAAGTGAGAGGGTGTCACCTGCGCACTTGGGGATCGAGTCCCAAGAGACTAACAACACGCGCTAAAAACGCAAAGGCTCATGGGTAGACACTTGTTTGTAAACAATGACACGCTATGGCCATCTGATGCATCCTCAGGTTACGACTCCCCCGCTGTAACCTAATCTTTGGATTGACTCATCAGCAATATTCCACGTATTCCACTGTAAATCAGTCTAAACTGACATGTTTGTTTGCGTACAACTAGGGCTACCAAGGTATGGTTGATGGAGGTGAGAATATACGTGAAATGGGATGGGCAGATGTTTCCGGTATCATACAGCTGGTAAGTTAAACTCTTCAAATCCTGTGTTTTGAATGTTTTCTTTCTGTATGTAGTAATCTTCAGAGAAAGAAATTTAGCCTCCCTGCTAGGTATTTTATTCGTGACTGTCATACACAGCTTTGATCTAGTATCCAGAGTTCATTCCAGGATTTGGTCACCATGGGATATTATCCTGCAAGGATTTGAAATGTAAAATAGGTTTTTTGCTTATTTAAAAAAAAAAATCTGCCTTATGAAAAATTAAAGCATGCATACAAAATCATGTCAAATCATGGTCTCCACAATACATGATAACTCAAAAAAGAAAGATTTACCGGTAAATTGTGTGAAAATTTGGAAATTACTGCCAAAAATGAACTCTGCATATCCCATAAATATAAGCGTTTAATTTTGTTTACAGTGCATACCAAAATCAGGAGTTTTGGTAATTGAAATAATTCCAGGGTTTTCGCAATAACTTTAGTGTTCAATAGTCACTCCTGTTTAATGGAATTTTCACTACTACAAAATTCTTCCTTTGTCCTCTCTTCAGAGTCTTGTCTTGTAATCTCCAGTAATCACATTATTTAACCTTTTTCTGGTCAAGTATACTAGTATGTTAAAGTACATGTGACTGGCAGGATAAAGGTTGTATTTTTCCACTGGTTGTATTTACTTATTTAATACATGTTCACATTACATAGGGAGGTACAGTGATTGGAAGTGCCAGGTGCAAAGACTTCCGTGAGAGAGAAGGACGTAAGAAAGCTTGTCTCAATCTTGTAAGGCGTGGTATTAGTAATCTGGTAGTTATTGGTGGAGATGGCAGTTTGACTGGTGCTAATTTGTTTAAAAAAGAATGGTCTGAGCTTATAGGTGAACTCAAACAAGAAGGTAATGT